ACCCATGCACTGGTACAGGCTTGGGACTGACTGACTAAACAGCAGCTGAACAGAAAAGGACCTAGGGGTTAGGGTGGACGGTAAGCTGAATATGAGCCAAAAATATGTCCTTTTTGTGAAGAAGACTAACAGCATACTAGGCTGCATTAGTAGGAGTGTTGCCAGCAGATTGAGGGAAGTGAGTGTTCCCCTCCTGTCAGCACCAGTGTGGCCACATCTGGAGTACTGTGTCTAGTTTTGGGCCCCCCACCACAGAAAGGATGTGGACAAATTTGGAGAGATTCCACCAGAGGGCAATGAAACTGGCTAGGGTGTTGGGGCACATGAGGAGAGACTGAGGGAACTGGACTTACTTAGTCTGGAGAAGAGAAATCTAAGGGGAGATTTAATAACAGCCTTCAACTATGAAAAGAGTACCAAAGAAGATGGAGCTACACTGTTCTTAGTGGTGGCAGATGACAAAACAAGGAGCAATGATCTCAAGTTCGATTGACTACAAGATAAACATGAGCCACCAATGTGATGCCATGGCCGGCAAAGTAAACCAAACACTGGCATGGATCCACCAATGTATCTCAAGTAAAACCAGGGACAACATCTTCCCATTCTACTCCGCCTTAGGGAGGCCACAGCTTCAGTGCTGCATCCAGTTTTGGGACCCTCCACTTCAGGAGGGATGTGGATAAGCTTGAGAAAATCCAAAGGAGAGCCACCTGTATGATCAAAAGCTAAGAAAGCAAGCCTTACAGACCAAGAGGCTGAGGGACATGGGACTCTTCAGCCTGGAGAAGAGAAGGCTCAGGGGTGACTTGGTGGCAGCCTATAAGTATATAAGAAGGGTACATCAGGCCCTGGGAGAACACTTGTTCACCATAACAAAGTCTAACAGCCATAACCTCCTGGAAGACCAGTTTAGGCTGGACATAAGGAAAAACTTCTTTACCTTATGTCTGAGTGTAAAGGGTCTGGAATATACTCTCCCCAGAGGTCATGCAAGCACCTACTATGGATTCATTCAAAAGGTATTTGGATGTCTATCTTACTGAGATCATTTGACCCCAACCGACTTCCTGCCTATGGCAGGAGGCTGGACTCAGTTATCTCATGAGGTCCCTCCCAGCCCCTAATGTCTATGAAGTCTATGATGTTTCAGCAAGAGAAGTTAGGTTAGATATTAGGACAAACATTAGAACAATAGAATCATAAAGTTAGGGTTGGCAAGGACCACAGGAGGTCATCTAGTCCAACCTCCAAAGCAGGAGGATCCCCAACTAGGTCATCCCAGCCAAGGCTTTGTCTGCCTAGGTCTTAAAAACCTCCAAGGATGGAAAGTCCACAACCTCTCTGGATAACCTGTTCCAGTGTTTTACTACCCTCCTGGTGGAAGAGTTGTGTGCTCCTAGGAAAAGCACACAAAACTTACTAGGAGTGTAATAAAGCACTGGAACAGGCTGCACAGAGAAATTGTGGAATCTCCATCCTTAGAGGTTTTTAAGACCTGGGTTGATAAAGCCTTGGCTGGGATAATATAGTTGGGGATGGTCCTGCTTTGAGCAGGGGGTTGAACTAGATGACCTCCTGAGGTCCCTTCCCTCCTGAGGTCCAACCCTAATTTTCTGTGATTCATTGATTTATTTTAGAATATTACCAAGGACTGGCAAAATGCAAGTAGTTTTATAGTTTGGGTTTTGTTTTTATTGGCACCTAGAACTCCCAAGTTAAGTATTTTTTCTTACAGAAGAGTTTGGAACAGGTTTCAATGTAGATCAAAGTTAAACTGTTCCCTAATTGTTTTAGCTTTGTAACATTAAGCCTGCGGGGCATTTTGCATGGTCCTATTGTATTTAGCTGATCTGTAAAAGTGCAGCTTTGCATGAATTATATTTGCCATGTTTTAGGAAGGCTTTACAAATTGTCAAATCCAGGATAGGCCTTTTCAGGAAGCTCTTTAATCCTTAAACATTTGCATAATGATCTCAGTGCTGTAATTTTTTATGTGATACTATGTATAGGAACTATTGCTGAATATTTTAGATTAATAAAATTAGGAGGATGATGAGCTCTAAAATGGACTTTGCCATCTTTCAGGACTGAAACTAACATTTATTTCAACATATTAAATTTGTGGGACAAAATCCATCCCTGGTGTAACCTCACTGAAGTCAGTGGAGTTAAATCAGATGCTCCATTTGGCTTATGGTGCTTAAATATTGAACAACTCAAATTCAGAGTTCTAAATGAGGAGCCAGATTCCGGTGAAGAGACTTAGCTAAATAGTAAAAAATCCATTATAGTGGAATTCTGGTAAGATAATACCCTTATCTGATACTTTGATTAAAACATGATAATCATTTGGAAATTCTGGAGCAATTAGATGACATAAAGAAGGCAAAGCTGATTCTTTGAATACTTGATGTGAACAATAAGAGAGATCAGTCTCTGGTTTTGAAGTAAAAATTGTTAAAAAGTAGATTTGTATTTCAGTGATATACAGCAGTTGATATCGACTCAAGTGCCTTTTTCTAGCACTGTGCAGATGTTAAGATAAGGCTACGTAAATGGAATTAAAAGAAAGCACATTCAAAACAACCATTCTTCACTCTGAGATGATAAAAGTAAGGAATTATCTGCCAGACAAGGTTGCTGAGGTTAGAACTGTCTGGTAATTGAAGAAACAATTAGGTGTCATTCCTGAGCAGAAACTGGCTGAGAAACAGAATTGTTTGGTAAGATACCTGAAAGTTTTACAGGTGTCTTCTTGAGAAAGAAATAAATGGCTAGTGTCTTATTTATTATATAAATTGGCCTGTCTTGAAAGGGTTTGACTGTGACATTTTTGTTCAACGAGTGTAGAAATAAGGCCCAGTCCATTATGTTCTGTAATGTTTATTCTCTCCATGTTGTGGCTACTTGTTTTGGCTTCTAATCATAGTGGCATATCTGTCAGGTGCCATTTCACCTGATAAGGAAGTACTTTGAACAAAAACAATTATCTTGATTTTGTAATATCTATAAATGCAGGAACTTGTGCAAGAGTTCTGTTTATCAGGATAACTTATTATGTCTCCAAGAACCTTTATGGAGCCTATAGATGTGCTCATTCACATTCTAAGTAGAATGCATTGGACCAGATTCAATTAATGAAGTCTGCTCCACATTCTAATTAGAATGCTCCGGTGTTGCCTCACTGTCACATATATTAAGCCCCTACACATTTCAAAATGGCCCCTGGGCCTCATCATATGAGCTTTAGATGAAGCATCCCACAGCCATTTTAAAACATATAGGGGCTTAATACATATGATGGCAAGCTGTTTTTAATTACAGCAGGTGTCTGGGAACCACTGGAATTAAAACGACCCCCCCTCCCCACTCCTGAGCATGTGTATAGGCAGCCTTAGCTTTTTGTTTAACAAGTACTGCAGTACAGTTCTGTAGTTACTGTGCCAAAAGTAGATGAGCCTATGTTAGTAGAAGTAGCTTAGGATAATCCACTCTTCCTAAAGTTTGTCCAGTTCTTTAAAAAATGTAGTAAAGGATTTGCCCAATCAATTAAAAGGTTGTACATTGTAAAGTTAGTCCTATATTTATCCAATTATTTTGTGACATACTGTGAGTAAATTGTGAAAATCTTAATAGGACACTTTTTCTCTGTACCAGTGACCTTCACAACTTTGCTTAAGCCTCTCACCCCAACATTCTTAGTGTAGAAGGAAAACTGGTCCAACAAAGCTGTTTTGTGTCCACCATCCCTCCCACCCCAGTTTAGGGCAGAATCAGAGGCAGCTCCACATGGGGTGCAGTGGCACAATCACACTTCCTCTTATACTGTGTGCTAGAGCCAGTTCTCAGGAAGGCATGGCCCTGACGGGGCCTGGATACCTGGATCCCATGACGAGTCCAGACAGAAACTGAGATCAGACCATGTGGGAAGAAAGAAATGTGGCTGGAGTCCCAGACTGGTGGGGAACATCAGAGTAGAGGGAGTAGGCACAACACTTGCAGAAGGGAAACCCACCTGCCACCATCACGGTCCCCAGATGACCTGGGCATGGAAGTCATGGGAGTCCCAGAGCCTATCTTGCTTTGCTCCAGCCAGGCTGTGTTTTGAAGCAGCTGCGTGAAAATCTAGGCTTGCAGGCCGGTTCCCCCTTCCAGCACCCAGTCATCACCAGCAAGAGACACAGGGAGGTAGGCAGGGAACAGGTGCAGGGATGAGGGCTGCCCATCATACCCATTGTCCATGGCTGACCTCAGCAGTCCCTGCAGCTGCTCCTCACACCTGGAGCTTCCCAAATGGTAAAGAGCACCCAAGGGGGCCAGGAAGGGAGCAGGGACAGGAAAGCGGTACTCACCTACTTCTGCCACCACCATCCCAGCTGCCCTGTGACTAGTCGAAAGCTTTGGGGCTGCTCCTGCCCCACTCCAGCCAGTGCTCCAGGAAGTGGCTGTGTGTGTGCTGAGATTCATCAGGGACAGTGCCATTGGGGTGGGGAGGAGGGAGTCCCTCTTTCCTTCTCTTTGCCTGGTTTCCCCTCCTTCTCATTGTCCTCCACCAGCTTAAGTTTCCAGCCATGTCTCCTCACCCCATTCCCTGGGAGGCAGCACCAGTGGCATCTCCTGTACCCCCCTTTTCTTAATTTTGGATCCACCCAAGGGATAGGATGGGTAGGGAATGACTTGGACCTTTCTTTCATCATATAGCTGCATCAGACAGTGGCACAAAAGTGTATACTCCCCATGTAACATTGAAATATACAAATAGGAAATCAAGTCTCCTGAGTAATATTCATTCTCCTGAGCTGCTCTGGAGACTCTATGATAGGGTCCTGCATCCTACCTTTTCCAGACAGTTAGTTCCTCCTCTAATTCTTAGGCTTTACAGATATCATCTTAGATGGTAAATTCATCAGAGCAAGCATTATCTTGGTATCTGAGACTTTTGAACAGAATTGTGATATAAGTAATGAATAATCAGTGTCTACTTTCTCTAATTGCAGGAGATTTGTCCTCACCAAGGTGAGAGTCATTCCAAAAGGAGCTTTCACAGGACTGGCCGATTTAGAGAAAATGTATGTATTGGTGGTTGTTTGTTGGTTTGTTTTCTAAATAATGTGTTTGGTTGTGTTTGCTATTATTGCCTTTTTTTTGTAAGAAGACCACTAATGCTCTATGCTACAGAAGTATGTTTTCCATCTTCTCAAATTTCTGTTAAAAAAAAGAGAAAGAAACACAAAAAGATAGCTAATACTCCAAAGGAATATTGTCACACATACATCTGGATGGAACACCTGGGCAAGGTTTAGCTCAGCACCCAGTGTCAGGATAATTAACAAGGAAAATGTCAGCAGTAAACTCTGTAGGAATCTGATTAAATCTGAGAATTGTGTGCTTTGCTGCCGTATGTTAACTAGGAATCCAGGAGGGGAACACCACCAGTCAGAGCCATAGGTCAGCCAACTGTCATTTCAGCAATGAATAACTGAGCCAGTTTTCATTTTCATGTATGTTTGGAGGAGACTAGCTTTTTACTGACTGTGTTGAGATTTCCAAAGCCACCTACAAATTTTATACATCTATTGCCCATTAATGTCAGTGCTTAAATCTGATGATGAATACATAGATATAATTATAGATATATGTGTATATTTGGCAAACTGTATTTGTAACACACTTACCACTGCACCTCACCAATGTAGTACACTCTGCCACAGTTGGAGAAAAAGAAACAATTGTCTATTTCAGGGGTTCCCAAACTGTGGTAGATATACTCCTGGGGTACACAAGACATCTCTAGGGGTACACAAGTGAAATTGTATAATGGAGGATTTAAGTTTCATTACAATAATAATTGGCATTTAAGGGGTTAAAATATAAAACATATGCTGGTAGGGGTACACAGGCAGCTGGTAAATCTGGAATGGGGTATGCAATAAGAACATGTTTGGAAACTGTGGTCTATTCCATATTTCATTAGATTCACTCATCAGGGCTAAGTACAAACAGTCAAAAAGCCCAAGACTGAATTAATTCAGTCTTTGTGGGTTAGTCTAAACTGCACAGATTAAATTGAAACAGAAGTGAACAGACATTTATCTTTGACTCGGGAAATGCAGCCACATGCCTGCAGTGGCTCAGGCCAGAAGGCTGGGGGTGCTAGAGCACAGCTCTCTGGTTGTGTGTTCACTTCCTCTTCCTGTTGCCCCCAAGGCCTCTGGGATTTGCAGTCCAGAATTACAACAGCAGGATTCTACAGGGTTGCTATTCCTGCTTCCAGGTGTCTCTGGGATTTGTAGTCCAGAGTTGCAGCCAGCAGTAAGTTTGAGCCAGGGAAAGGGTGTTTAACTCCTATCTCTGGCCCCAGGCCCCCCAGCCAGGGTTTGCCTGGTGGGGGCAGTCCCCCCCCCCCGTAGACTGGGCTGCATCCCCAGCTGAGCTTGCCCCCCCTGCATCCCCCTTGCCAGCCAGCCCTCACTGCTCTAGTTAGGGAGCAGAGGGGCAGGGCCAGCCCTGCTATCTGGAACAGACAAAGCAGCACAACCCAAGGCTGGAAAGCATGCTGGGATGCTGGGGGGCTGTGATTTAACTTGAACCAGGAAGGGGTTCTGGGACAGAAGTTTCATAAACCAGTTTGACCTGAATCAATTAAGTCTGATACTACATTCAATCACATTTATCTTGTTTCAATCATTTTGAAGCTGGTTTATGTATACTGAGCTTCTGTTCTGTTACAGGTTTCTACCAGTTTCTGATCACTTAAACCGGTTTACATGTAACTTCTGTCCCTAGCCTATAAGACCAGAAGGGACATCTCTAGTTGGACCTGCTAAAGGACACAAGTCGTAGGACTTCCCCAAATTAACTCCAGTTTGAATAAGACCATATCTTTTAGAAAAATAGCCAGTCAATATTTTAAGCGTTCTAATGATGAAGAATCCATCCAATCCTTAGTAAGTTGTTCCACTGTTTAGTATACCCACTGTTAAGAACTTGCCTTGTATTTTTGTGTACTTCAGTGCAATTAGGTCCTTCACATTTTTTTTCGAAGCATAGATGGGACGCCCCTAGCAGTACTTACACTTATAGTATAAGAATGGGCCATGCTTAAGCCATTAGTGGGGCCATTGTAGTACAATCCAGTAAGAGTGTTTGGTTAGGTTTGCCCAAAGAAGTGAACCTTCTAACAATTCTGTGGGATGTCTGATCACCCAAGTGAATGGGCCTGATTCACTTCTGCTTTACTCCAGCTTTTACACCAACCTAAGTATACTCAAATCAGTGGTGTTACAGAGCTAATGTTTAAACCAAACACAGTTGCTAATCTAGCCCATTATAGAATATTTCAAAGGACTCGCACTGTTTAGTTTTTGCTCATCATTACAGCATAGCAAACAGTCATCAGGAGAAAAAGGAAAGGAGTTCTTATCTTGTGAATTTACCAATTAGGAATAAAACCAGTCCTGAACGTTCAGTTAGTTTTGTTGGCATTTGTTTCTCCCAAACTCTTCTGGATTTCTTTTAGTCTGATGCTTACAGAAAATCATTAAGCTCGCTGGACTGTGAAGTGGGTTGCAAAGTGCATTGTAAACTGTTCACGTTGTCTTTAATTACTCACAAAGCATATGCCAGATACATATGAAGTGTGAAGATTACACTGAATAGGATGTCTGTGACAAAGTGATGATTTATTGTTAACCAAAAAAAATTATATATGGAAATGAACTCAATTTGAAAATACATCTATGTACTATTAATAACTCTGGGGGGGAACAGTTTATAACAAAATACCTTTGAAAATAGAAGTGTGATGAATATGTAAATTAGACCAATCAACATCAACAAATATGTGGTATGTGCAGATGAGAAAGCAAACAGATAAAATGTGAAATAGCTCACAAATCATAAATATAACTCATAAAGCATTCACTGGAAATATTCATGAAAACATGGGGACAAAAAAGTATATAATCAAATGATATATTTGCATATAAAAATAGAGCCCCTTCATGAAAGCCTTTTTTTCTCTCAGAAAATCATGCATAAAAAAGGGTATTAAAGCAAACTGAAGACTATATAAAGAAAACAGCTATTAATAATGTGATACCTCCATGTGGTAAAATGTGGTTTGCCTAGTGTATATAAATTAGATACTTTAATCTACTGAACATACTGTGCTTGCATATAACTGAGAGACTGAAAATCAAAGACTGACTATATTTGCTGAGTGTATTAGTGAACAAGGAATATAAAGAAAAATCAGCATTAGTCCCAGAGGCCTGAAAAACATGTTAATTTATGTATACATTTTCTATTAGAGATAAGTTTAAAACCATTTTAAACAGCATGTTTGAAAACGGGGTTTGTTTAAAAGGTCCCTTGAGTTAGCAGGAAAACACCTGCCTTGGGTACCTGCTCTCCTACCTCTAGTAAAGGGTGGAGCTGATACAGAGAGTGGGCTTTCTAGTCTATCAAAGTGTTTTGAGAAACACAAAATAAGAGGGAATGGGTCCTCCACAAAACCTGGGTCAGAATCTGAGCTTGTATTTTCTCATTCAAACTGAATAGAAAAGCTTTGAATACACTGGTCAAACACTTTCTGTCAGAACTGTTTTTCTAGAAAAAAAATTGAATTTTTGACTAAACATTTTTCCCCACAGAATTTGCCAGTTCTTCTGTGTAAGATTTCAAAACCAAATATTGGAAAGCCAAAACCTGAAAAAAAATGCCAAAAAACCAAATAAACCAGATACCCTAGGGTTGTGTGTCATACCAAGACAAATCCTACAGAAGTATTTGCCTAATCTGCTCTTAATAGTTTCCAAGGAGAACTTTTTTGTGGAAAATTTTAGCGATAGCCATTTTTTCATGATCATTATTATCATCATCATCATCAAAATTGCCTTTGTTCTGCTTTTTTAAATTAAAAAGTTTCATTTTAAAGACAGACAAATAAATAGATGAACTTTTCATAAGTGTTTTTCTAGAAAAAAACTCCATTTTAGAAAATGTTTTCCAAATTATAACACATTTTGATAATCTACCTAGATTTCTTTTGCCAATGCAAAGCAGAGGCTGTTTCAAAAGATGAAAAATCAAAACAGCAGACTGACTAGATCAAAACAGTAATCTTCTTGCTAGCTGCTCTCCAGCTTCTGTTCTGCACGTCTCTTTCACCAGACTAATATAGCAAATAGTGGTAGAGGCAAGTATATTAGTTATTCTAGTTACACTTTTAGCTTGTTCCTAGGTACCCTTAGCCTGTTAGAATGCAGCAACTCCTATAGAGTGCTGCTTAACCAACCTGTGTACACATCACAAACAAATTAGCCCTCTGGTTACTAAATTTAAAGGCAACCCTGTGCAGGCACATATCTAGCACAATCAATTCCCAAATGGTTCTGTAGATGCCATATCAGCATCAATCTGGGCTTGAATTTCATTAATGTAAAAGAGAACAAGTCTGAAGCCCATGTAAAAAGTATCTCTTTGCACTATTTCTTCTATTATCTTTCCTCATGTTTTCAGTGTGTAGCATGGCCAGGATGCTGAAAGCAAATCTGACAATACCTAATGTAAAGCTAGGATCCACAGCTGTTTTTAGATAGTAAGTGCTCATACAAAATAGGCAACTTGACCATTAGGGATTATTAGGGACCTACCAAATTTGCAGTTTCATAATTTTTTCAGAACACCCAGTTTCTGCAAAAAACCCCAACTCTGCAAAAAGGCGCAAAATTGGCAAGCAAGCAAGGGAAAAGAAAAAAAGAAACGAGCAGCAAAGCAGAAAATGGTAGGAAGCCCTGGCATCCTAAAGCACAGGAAGAGGGAGAGAGGAGAAAGAGGGCAGGGGGAGCAAATCAGAAGCTGAGTCCCTGACAGGTTCAGTCCAGGGACCAGTCAGGGTCTAGCCTAGAAGCTTGCAAAGAAGCCTGACCCTCCCCACCCTACAACCACCTTTTTTTTGCTTTGCTTTTTTTTTATCGCATTGCATTATATTTAATTGCATTGCTGCCTGCCTGCGCACCCACCAGGGTGAGGAGCTGCCTCCCCTCCTGCTGTGTGGTCAAACCTG